TGAGAGAGAGAAAGAAAGAGGCCCAAGTCACACAGTAATAGAAGTTTGTATAAAATAAAATATTCAGTTAAGTACTTTTTATGTTTTGGTCTAATCCAGGGGTCAGCAAACTGTGGCCCACAGGCCCAGTCCAGCCCACTGCCTGTTTTTCTGTGACCTGCAAGCTGAGAATGGTTTTTACATTTTTAAATAGCTGAAAAAAAATTAAGAGTATTTTGTGGCACACGAAAATTACATAGCATTCAAATTTCAGTACTCTTTGACGGTTGTAGCATGAGGATGCAGGATACATGGCTTATTCCACGGCAGTGATCGTGGGAAAGAGGTGATAGATTCGTGTAAATGTGCCTTTGGTCACTCAGTTTGTGCGTATGGGGGGGGAAGTGATCCTCTTTTGAAGTGAGATTAGTGAGCTGACTGGGGCTAAAACAGAGGAGTCTGCATAGTCCAGAGGTGGGGGATGTTTACTGCTGAAGAACAGTCAGAGAGCAGTCTTTCGAAATTAGGAGCAAAAAGAAAAGGCTTTACAGGGTTCAAATTATACCCTCTCGTTGGAAGAGCTTTAAGACAATATTTAGTTTCTAAGCCTTAAGTAAAGCAGTTATGTCTTCTGCCCTTGATCCAGAAAAGTACTTTGAGGCAGGATCGTTTCCTTTGTTCTCTATTATTGTTCCTTGAAGCAAGACAGAGGTAACGGTTTCTCCCTCGATTTGACATTCCTGGAAACTGTATTCTAAAGGGGTCTATGGCGAATCCAGCACCTTCTCCTGATAGTGTTAAAATTCAAGGTGGCTGTCCAAGGACCTCACGTTCCTTTAACAGGTCTGCCAGTCATGGTAGCCGGAGTTCCCTGTAGTCTTTATTGAAAATGAAACCAAAATCCTAACCCTAAAAATAGAGTCTCAACACCTGTAAGTATGAATAGGGAAACAACACACTCAAGTTCATTGCTGAAGTATCTGGTCAAGTCTCTCCTCGATGCCACCATAGCAAGTAGGTTTCAGCTTGCCCAGGCACAGCCGCCTGGAGCCCTGTCGATCCAAGTCGTGAGGTCCCACCTGGACTCGGGGCAGAGGGCACGATGCGTGTGACACCTGTGTGGTGGATCACCGTGTTATTTGTCACCTGATCTTATTATTTGCTGAGTTCATTCATTGTGAGCAAGTGTAGGAAGAGTTGGCTAACTCACAGCATTCGTTCTTTTACTCATTTCTATGAAAAAAATAGAGCGAAATGATGTGATGTAATATCTTAGTGACAGGGACTATTTGGATGGAATTGTCAGGAAAGACATGGCAGAATAGGACCTTCCGCTTTTCTAAGTTTAAATTCAGTTAAAGGAGCCTCCTGAAAAAAAAAAAAAGATAATTTTAAATATCGGCAATGTAACATAAAATTCCATGAAGATTTCGGGGTGAATGGTAGTGGGGTGGAGGAATGAGCGTTCTTCCCCTCGCGTTTCTCAAGGACTGGAGGGGAAGCTCCATCTACCTCCTTCCCTCCATCTGGGGCCTTCTGCCCAGCTCTGCGCTCAGAAAGCTCCTCCTCCTCCTCCTCTCTCAGGGCCTTCCTGTCCTCATCAGCCAGCTGCCCAGAGAAGGAGCGACTGCTTGGGCCCCTCCTGATGTGGCCTAATGCTTGGTCACTTTTTCTAATTAATGTCTCATTATACATTTGATCAGGTGATACAGGCACCATTTATGATGCCTTTCAGAGAACAGTATTGATACCTGTGGTAATTCTAAATGCCCTTTGACTGAAAATTCACAATATGAATTCTGTTTGGCAAAGTGAACCTCTTTATCAAAATATACTAATTATGTTGAGATACTCTTCGGGGACCACTTTACTGCTGGCAAATGAAAGTTTTATTTCTGTTGCCATTTTGATTTCCGGTGGCAGTTGGATTGATTTTTTACAATTCAGTAATTTTTTCGTTCTTCAGTCCTCTCCTACCAGAGGTGCTGAAACTGTGATGCTTTCCTTTTTACATCATTTATTTTTTTGTTACCGTTCTCAGAGTTTAGCTTGTGCCCGGTGGGGGCTTTTTAATAGTTATTAAATTATTTCTGTGTACTGTGAAAATGGGAGGTAAATCTTTGCTTGTTAATCTCCAAAAAACATAAAATATTTATGGATATTTATTGTCTTTGATCTAAACTTTGCCAATTAACACTTTTTGACAATAGAAATAGAGAATAATCATGGGTAATTACAAAAATAAACATTTAAAATATTTTTAAGGAAAATAAGCATTTTATATTTTACAATGTAGCAGATTTAGCCAAAAGATATTTAATAGGGTGGAACATGTATGGTGATATTTTAGTGAAAAATTCTTTAGAGAAATAATAGCAAATGTTTTTTATCCTACTTTCTACATTTTCCTTTCTGTACTTGAAATGTTTTTTATGCATGTATCTTTTTTCCAGTCTAAGCAAATTGAGGGTAACTTAAAGAGAGGACATACAGTAAAGTAGGAGAGAGAAATAGGAAGCCAAGGTCAAAGAGGGGAAAAAAGCAATTGATTGTACATCAAACAGCATTATAGCTTCCTAGCAATAAGGGCAAAAAGTGAAACTCACTTTTAAAACGGAAGGCGCCTCTCAGTTTTTCAAGAGAGGCAAAGTGTTTCAAGGCACTAAATTTAAAATTTAATTTCCTTGTGGAGCCAGATGACAAGCACAGCATCCTCCATAGTAGTTCTTACAGCTGATCCAAAGGCAGTTTTTTTGGCTGTTTCTCCAACCAACCCCTAACCTGAGGAAAAGCATGAAAGCTCAGCTCCGCGCAGACAACGCTCAAAGGGGCCGCCTCATCTCTAGCTGGAACACTCTTGTGTCCTTTGGTGTCAATCCAGACTCTTGGTGGCAGGTAACAGAATCCCGAATCAAGCCGCTTAGAGAGGAAAAATGACAGGGGTATACTCGACTTTAGGTGGGGCGTCTGCAGGGCTCCTACAGCACAGTTAGGACTCTCCTCACTCTCTTGTCCTCCACCTCGCCT